ACGAAAGTAAATATTGAAGAAACGCGAACTGTTCCGCAACGTCAACAGACATGTATAGGCCTACGGGATTTTGCTAGAGATTTTAAACGCTTGGTCATATCTTACATGCATGATTGTGATCATAGCCATAACGTAGAATATCGTAAAATGGTAGAAATTACTGGCACTAGTCAAAATTCCATCCAACTCACCGCTACAAGTTGAACCGGATAAGCGGCTAGAACATTTCTTCGTATTTAACGCATGCGCAACAAGCTCTTATCTCAATTCTAGCCTAGAGGGGGTACCCAAATTGGCGCTGGACTACGGGGAAATCGGATCTTCTGGAAAATTCCACGAAACCCCAGAAATACACCCCATTTTCAAAACCCTCTCAGGGCCGTTCTTTGAAAGATATCGAAAAACCAAATATATCGTTTTCTTCAGAATAACTTGGACTACTTATGTTTGGAGTTTCAGTTCGTCAGCTTTAAGTGTTAATTCTCCAGGGTGAATTATACAGCTACTAATGGTCAAAATGCCGATTTTGGCGTGTTTTACACCAAATATCTCAATAACTAGATTTTTCCCAGATATAACAGATACACAAGGAGGTAGATCGCGCTGAGTTCTACAAACTTGGAAAGTTTCAGCAAAAGTTATGGAGCCGTTTTTTTCGTACTCAAATCGCTGTTATATGCGGCAAATTAGCTACATTTAGCCGTGTTAACATTTCGTTCAGAGGAACGATAACAGAGTTATCGCCCCTCTAACACTTCATTCCATATTAAACACTTCATTCCATACTTACCCTTTATGTATATATTATGTAAATGTCTTTACTATATGGAAACAATGTGTTCACCACCGGATGTAGCTATAAGGAGAGGACTTATATAGGCAATTCCTGATGTCCAATCTTGTTGACTTCTATTGTCGATAAAATATCTTGAAATTGAAAGTTTGAGGTGCATATAACAAATATTTCTATCAAAAGTAAAATTAACTCAACTGTTTTAACGAAGCATGCGCGGACTGCATGCATACAATGCATGCAGTTATGTTGATAACTTAGTGTATGTGACAAAGATGTACAAACACAACAATTTATTCTAGTGTTACTTTATATGTGGCTTTGATTAGAAAATGCCATTATTATTCGTCAGTATTAAATTATTAAATTGATACCGAACCATATATAATCATGCATTGCATGTTCTTTCGACATTTATTATAATTTCTGATATTTTTGCTTTTCATTTGCAGTGTTCACAAGTTTGGATTCGAATTTATATTTGTGTATACATCTCACCAGTTCTACAATCATCCGTGATGAATTTTCGGTAAGTTGACACAGACTTAGATCGTAACACCAAAGCGTTTTTCCGATACATTTCTGTAACCTCGAACGCTCTTAATGTGAATCAAGGTAATTTGTTTTTGAAACCTCCATATATGTGTACTTGTGCCTGTGTGTGAAGGAGGCAGCGTGTGTTTGTAAATGGGTTGCCGCAAACATGACAACAAATTGATTTGCATTCCTCTATAATCACTTTAACATTGATAAGAGTCCCCTATGTTTGACAATGATACTATCATAGTGACCATTATCAACGTTAGATGGTTGTTGTTGTTGTCTTCCATACCTTTAAAGGTTTTTAATAACACAAGGTTTGTGGAAGAATGAGAGTTCATTTAAGTTCGACAAGCCCGGTTCCCCATAGAATATCGAATACAAAGATAGGACGATTATATTTAAAATCCTGCACGCCACCATGATAGCAACGGAACGGTTGAAATTATTATAGTATGGTGCCGTGTTGTGATTGACTCCGTCCACAAGTACCTGTTGATCTCGTTACACAGTTGTGACTTGTTTGTTGAACATTTGTATTTTTGTCTTTCATGTGTTGTTTGTTAAAATGTCTATTGTGTGAGTATAAGTGTAGGCTCTCAATATATAGGAATACAGACGTGTAAGTAATGGCCAATACAATATAACACAAATACATGTTTGTAATATTTTATTTACAATTATTGTATCATCAATTATTAACAAATATTTCATAAATTTATGTAGGTTATATACAGATGGTATACTGTAAGGAACATGTAACGCAAAGAGTCAAAATATTGCAAGGTAAAGTTTACTATAAAACTGAAATATTTTATAACTGCGAGCAAGAAATATCTGCTTCAGTCATTTTCTGCATAAATAGTCTATGTTTATCAAATGTTGGGATACACTTTACCGAGTTGCAGTTAATTAAAAATTAATATTGAGAACAGGAATACTTTAAAATATAGCATATGCTTTTCCAATGATGCTTGCTTGGAGTTATTGATACAAATCCTTAATATTAGAGTTCACGTAAGCACGGCAAGGTTTACATGAAAGGACACCGAAAACTAAGAGATGAAAATCGTGACAAGGGAAGTAACTCTTAGTCAGAAAAAAATCGAACGTTTACTTCATTGTCTAGATAAAAACAGTTCTGAACGATGATGTTTTTTCGCGATAAAATCTGAAGCAATGGTTCCCTTTTCTTCAACCCCCTCTCCCTTACATGTACCAATAGCTTGAACGAGATCCAACTCTATTTTGCGCTCGTAATAGATGCAGTGCTTCCCTTTACGTTAACTAACTTAACAGATTAAACGACTCTGGTACATTTTTCCGTCACACCAAGCACCCATTGAGTAACAAAATTAACTAGTCGTTGGTTAACGACAATATTTATTTCAGATCTGACGGAAAAGAGAAAAAGTGCAATGTGAAAAGAGCTTGTATATCTCCAATTGAAAATAAGATAAAATTATTATTTGATTTAAGGGCGTAAATAATATCAGAATTGATGACAAATTTACAAAATGGTGAAGGCATGGTGAATACAACACCCAAAATCTACGCAACAATCAGAATATTCTACATATTACACAGAAAAATATAAATGGCTAAAACGTTGATATAAACGAAAAAATATCTAAATGATATAATATTTTTTAAACACCACTTTTAAAAATAATGTACATGTTTCACTACAATTTGTAGCCACTATACCAGATTATCCTTCTAGCTTGCATTAGTAAAATTTGAAAATGCAAGTCCCTTTCTAAATTTGAAACACAGATTGGATGTTATTTTCATGCTGAACTTTAATCTTTAAAATACAGTATATTTATTAAATAAGACGAATTTTCTTTATCGGAATACAATGTTTTAAATATGTCGGAAAGCAGAACTTTTGTGAAGCCCTGAACCTTTTTTCAACGACTATTTCGTTATTTACTGATTACACCTAAAGTACCTTTCATCGGTCGAAAGTATTTTATAAGAAAGGAATTATAATGAAAAAAACTCTCTTATACTCCGAACACGCGAGGAAACAATCTTGCATTTTATTTTTGTGTGTTTGTTTTTTCGGCTGATTTGAACTAGATCGTAGGATTCATTTTATAAATAGGACATGGTTGCTGATGTATATGTATAAGTATGCACTGTTAATATGTATATGTAAGCACTGCTAATCTGTATAAATATACCATGTTAATATGTATAAGCATGCCCTGATCATCTGTATATAATATGTACAAATATGCCCTGTTAAGCTGTTAAAGTTTGGCTGTTAATCTGTATTCGTATGCCCTGTTAATCTGTATAAGTATTCCTTGTTAATCTGTTAAAGTTTGCCCTGTTAATCTGTATAAGTATACCCTGTATTCCTTGTTAATCTGTATAAGTATGCATATTTATCACTCTGTTTATCTTTACTTGATTTTTGATATCGTGTTTTGAATTTGTAATTCTCGAGTTTTTAATTCGTGAAATGAAGAATTACTAAATATTACATTCGAGATTGATAACCTTCGCATAGCACGAAATATAAACTTTTAATATACTTTAGATCTTTACGTCGGTTATTTACTAATCGAGTGCACTTCAAAGAGTTTACTAAAAAAATCAGTAAAATTTCATATCAATGATACCCGTTAAAAGATTATTTATCGACTACTATAAATAGGCGTGAATCAACACAAAGACGCGTTGAAAATTGAGTAAACATGTCCATGCTTATCATAAAAAAAATCACTGAAAATCCTACGCACTCGCATAACCACGACTCTCTTGTATCTTATTCAACACAAGAATTTCATTTCTTAAAGGGCAATTTCCGTATCAACGCTTTATATGATATCAATAATTATAACTGTAACACACATTACTTTTTTTTCTAAAATCAATTCATGAACAACTTAAAAAAACCAACGCTGTAAATAATTCTTAAACAATCTACAACTAACATGCACTAAACAGCACTCTCAAACCGAAGTCCCGACCTTCATACATATTATTTAAAACACCATGCATCTACAAAAAAGATTATGTTGAAAAAGATGTTTTAAAATAGTAAACATTTTCGAAGACATATGATAACATTATATTAAACTAAATATAAGTAACGATAGTGCGTTGATGTTGAAAACAGTGAATTAAATATATGATTCTTCCCTGTAGTTAAAAGTGAAATGTATAACAGATGTAAAAGGACATAAGTGAAGTTTCCTTGTCAAAAACAGTTAATGTCTGTTAACAATATAAACAATACCATCCCATCAACTTACCAACATTGTAACTTACGTGACCTGCACCTTAGACATTCTCATTTGTTACACCTCAAGTGAATTTCTAACCATTTGATTAATTGGGAGAAAATTGTGCGTTCACCGCTTCGTTTCCCCTCCGTGATGGTCACAAGAACGTTTGTCGACAACAGCCAATTGTATCAAGCGCCGGTGCGATAGCGATTGTAAACAGCAGACTATCAACAAACAGGATGTCATTATCGAGGTTTGGTGCCGTTTCTGAGCTACAAAGACTTTTGTGTAACAAAATAGATATGACATTCATTAGCAGGTGACAGTGAATATTGTCAACCCGAGAAAACCATTATCACCCGAGGCGAAGCCTCGGGTGACAATGGGTTTTTAAGGGTTGACAATATTCACTGTCACCTGCTAATGAATGTCATATTTATATGATATAATATAGTAATACAACTATGGTTTGATAATCGAAAATGATTCAATTATGAGATGCGGAAACACAGCCTCCTTTGATGTACCTCCAACAAGGAAGAGTTTTGACAATATCACGTGTAATACCGGAAACAGATTGATAAATAACTGTAGACGTTTCTGTTTCTTTAATAAAAAGTTCAGACTGTACAAAATGTGATACAGCATATCTACAGACTTTTCTTGTCGAAATCATAAACAAGTGTTATTTATTCGATCAATATCATATATAGTTGTTTCATATTGATAATGTATACATTATTTATTGGTAATGCGTTTGAGTTCATGATAATCAAATAGATGCATGAGTGTTATAAGTGTTTTAGTTGTCTCCCTTGGAACCTTTTGAATTGAACAATGATTTAATGCAGCCAATATCACTATTCCTAAGCTATACAATAGAACATGGATGTGATCACACTCGTTCGACTTACCACCTTACTTATTGTCAATATATTTGAAGGCCTTTTTTAAGAATTCCTTCTCAAATTTGTTCAATTTATCACAGAAACCCTTTATAACGCCGAATTTTCTCTGGACAGACGGTGGCTGTTTTACGAGATTTAGTTCAGTACATATTCTAAACGTTCGCCATGAAGAAGTTGTTTAACATGGTAATCTGACAGAAACAACGCAACATTTCCGTCAATATATGTTGACAAAATCCTTTAAAGAAATATTCAGATAGGAAACAGAAATACTGTGTTTTACTAACGTATTTTCAAATAAAAATAATTTTGAAAAGTTTTCTTGAGCTAGTCAGTGGTTAAATATCCTGACCTATGTAAATGTCTTAAACTTTATATTTTTGAACAGATATGCTCTTTAAAACTACTTTATTGAATACATTCTGTTATCAGTGAATAACAAATTTAAGATTACGTTGTGAAAATATTCGATTTATAAATATTCTTTGCTCCATTTTACTTCCCGACCCAGGATTCTTACAAGAAGAATTCGTGATGCAAATAAATGCAACAACAATTTTGTATTGCGATTTAAGTATACGTATACTTAATGTCAGTATGTGTATCATTATGATTTAGCGTTAATTTGGCATGGAATATGATATTTAATTAAATCCCCCACAAAATTCTAAATGGGAATAAAACAATGGAAAGTCAGCATTGTTTGAAAATAGGAAGTAGTGGCACCCTCAATGTAAAAATGTAATATAATATTGTACTAATAAACATATCACTCACTTATAATAACATTTTCACTGCAATTCCCCTATAACCAGTACCGGAAGAAACTGTTCCTAGAGCTATGAACGCAATTTGATCAGCTTCATTTTGAAGCTTCTCTTCGCGCAACCTTATGAAGCAAACATTTTGGTGACGTTTCCAGGTCTCAAGAATCACGTATTCACTGACGACACAGACACTTAAATATCGAAAAAATACAAGGGCATATCTTTGATTAGATCATTTAGATCAACAATAACTTAAAATATTGAATGCAAATATGAAGATTGAACGACATTTTTTCATACTCGTGCCGGTATGAACGCAAAACGGTTACACACACATTAACCATGAAGAGGCGACACAATCAATGTGGAAATGTAATATATAGTCGTAAAAGTATACATATCACACACTTGTACATGCATTCATTTAGCGCATACCTGAAATGTGACGTCATAATACACGTTATTCGTATGGCGTTACAAACCTAACACCCATGAGGTGAGTAGGTAATTGCTGCATATATTTCCCAAAAGTTTTATTTAATGTTTAAAAGTTGTAACATCGTGAATGAATGAGTTTCTTTAATGAATCATGTCCTTTAGTTTTCGTTACAGTTCTCCAAATGCTCCCTAAAATGTTAGCGTGAAGACCCGTTTGAAACATGCAATAAAACATACGTATCCTTTTTTACCCCCTGAACAATATAAATCCCTTGGTGATGTTAGGGGCAAAACTGCTGTTGTAACATTAAATAAAATGTCCCAAAATGCTATGTTAGGTTTATCGCGGTAACCATAAGGTATGCAACAGAAGCTATTAGCGTAAGAAATATCACATTTGAATGTTGTTCACACAATCTTTGTTTTCCAGAGATCAATCGTGTTTTACCCGCTCAGCAGTTGTCGTCTGCTTCGTTCACTTGAAACTCAGAGTTTAATGACTTTACTTAATTTTCTAATGGTTCTGAATATAGGAACAATAACTGATATAGAGGCTCAATCGCGACAGACGATCTGTTTAATGTATAAAAGGCTGTTTTGGAGAACAGTTCATTCGCTAAAGAGATCGTTGGGGAAAGTCGTTTCAACCCCTTGTTGGAGAAAATATCAAAATGTGTTCACTACTCAATTATTTTGGCTAATAATTTTTATTCATATCCATGCAGTTTAAGTTAAACATTTCAAGATTTGTGAAAATAAGGGAGATGAAATATTTGCGTTAACTTGTCGTAACGCTATCCTGGAATTGGATAACATCGCGACGCCGTTCAAGTAATACAATGCTCATATTTTATTTTCATTTTGGATCTATTAAAAAGATTCAATCAATGTCCGTAATTCGAATACAAAAACAGTCGTAGATATTTTAATATTTGAATTGAAGACTCGTTATTCTAACAAACATCTCAGACCCGGATAAATTACCGTGCTGGTCAGAAAGTCAACGGTGTTAACAATGTCGTATTAAGTTAATAAAACTTAATAATGTTACATGTATATCCGTTTTAAAACTTATGTTACTTTCGACAGTATTTATGACTTGTGAAAGTGTGTCCTTGATGACGGTGAATGGCGACATACATCAACGTCTAGTAGCCTCCCTTTGGATTAGTTTGAAGAATGGATATACTAATGGAACATATCAATATAATTTATCCACATTTTCATATTATGAGATTAACACTTTTACTATGAATCTGAAACGCAATTAATAAACAACTGGTTCAGTTAACGATGATTTGAAATATCTGATTCATTTACAGTGACTAAAAAAATCATATAATATTATTTCTTTAATTCAAAATCACACATGAAAATAAATTATTTATTTAAGCCAATACATAAAAATGAAATGTGAAGAATAACCCAATATAGGACTGTCAGGACTTTTAAATTTCAAAACATGTTTAGATATTCTGTACATAATTTACAACCAATGGTCTGTTTAGGTACAATGATGTATATATACTATGATGGTATTATGACATGTACATGTGTTGCTCGGTATCAATAAAGGATCCAGAGAATAATCCGAGGATATCCGAATTCAATCAATGGGATCCGAAATGAGAACCTCTTAAAATACACAGTGTAAGGAATCACAGCAAATGAAATGGAAATATTGAAGATATGATGGCGTAGATATCTTGAAAGCGTCTGAAAACTCCCTGGATCATTTTCTGATGATAACGTGTTTCCCTGAACTATTGCTCCACTCCGCCTAGCGCTATCGATGTAACAGGACGGTGACAAATGTTAGACACGCTAGTATGATACATCCTGCCACATGTGACGTCACAAAACACGTTCCAGACACACAACCGTCTCTGAACTCGTCATCTACAACAAAAAGTGAAGGTAATACAAAACCAGCATTAACATTTTAACCCAGTTATTGTGGAAAGCAACCAAACCGAAACAGAAGCGGTTTATAGATAATATAACGTGAGTTTATTCATTTTAATAACATTATTATTTGATGATCATATCACAACCTAGGTTATATCCAATCGGTTAACAAGTTATTATCCTTAGATATTCGGTCTTTAGAACAAGCTAATATCTTTCTCAACTCCCTTGATTCAACAGGATTCCAATATAAACAGCAAAACAAATAAACATTAACAACAAAATGCAAGAGATTTGAAAATTTTTGAAATATTATTTTTCAGGAAATCATATTGCATTCTTCATGTACTTGTTTTCCGAAAATATGGGTATCCCTAGTAAACGTTTAGACAACGCAGTATTAAAATGACTTTAACATCTTCTTAAACAAAGTACAACTAAACATAACAAAAAGAAATTAATCATGACCGGTATCCGACACTACGAAAGAAACGCAGATAACAATCATAAGGTGAGAACTGTACCTTTTAAGCTTGTAGCTATCAGACAATTTTCTTTCGAGGCTACATTTTATAGCAAATTCTCTTAACACCAAAGAACGCGTTCATCGATTTAATTGTAAGAACAAACATAGATCTTTGCGTAAATGTTATTGTTCGAAATCATAAACATGTAAATATGGTTATGATTTTAAAAATTGTTGAAACATCGTTGTAGACAGAACGCTTACCCCTTGTCCGATATTTACTTATCACATTCAATGAAACTTACCAGAGTTACTTATACTTAATGCCTTCTTCATAGGTCACGCATACTTACTAACTATAGTATCATAGATTATGTTTATGAAGGGTATATGTAAATGTTGTCAGAATTAAAAAAATAGTGCAAACAAAATTATATTAATTTATTTTACAAAAATGATGAAACATCGTTGTAGACAGAACGATTACCCCTTGTCCGATATTTACTTACCACATTCAATGAAACTTACCAGAGTTACTTATACTTAATGCCCTCTCCATAGGTCACGCATACTCACTAACTATAGTATCATAGATTATGTTTATGAAGGGTATATGTAAATGTTGTCAGAATTAAAAAAAATAGTACACAAAATTATATTAATATATTTTACAAAAATGATGTGAAGGGTGCCTTCGACATGGTATCGCAGTGAGGGAGCACTATAAAGTCAGCACCAGATCCGTGCTGACTCAAGAAGGCAAATACACCAGCATAAAAGACCGACTACAGCATACTTGCACAACACACATGGAGGCTCGACATTAAATGACCTTAGCTGTTGATAGGACTTTACACCTTACACAAACCAACATACCAACCGACCGACCAACGTTATAATATAGTCTTCCTCAGATTGACTATCAACGTTGTGCTCCTGACTGCAACATACCTATGGCTTTTTTTAGTTTCGGGTAAAACTCAGTCCAGTAGGCACACTGCTTGTATCTCAATCCAGTCTTAATGTCAAACACCGGGCCGGGTTTTAGAATAAGGTATTCTTGGGTATCGTATGTATATTCAGGCCAACGTGTCGCTCTGTTTCCGTTACCAGGGTCACTGAAACGTGAATAAATGATTATGTAAGTACAGTTATTGTAATTTATATTAAATTACTGCAGCGAAAATGTGTTCAAACGCCATACAAGAGATGATTCATGTCGAAAACAATTGAATGATTTTCGACAGCATTTTGTTTCAGAGTGTCGCTCTGTTTCCGTAACCAGGGTCACTGAAACGTGAATAAATTATTATGTAAGTACAGTTATTGTAATTTATATTAAATTACCGCAGCGAAAATGTGTTCAAACGCCATACAAGAGATGATTCATGTCGAAAACAATTGAATGATTTTCGACAGCATTTTGTTTCATATTAGGTCCTATTTCTCTAGGATAAATCGGTGAGCTCTTAATTACGAATTCAAAAAAGAGTGATTAAATGAATTTCTTAAATAGCTTTAATATTAGTATTTCATATATATCTCATTGCTTGAAATATGAATATGAGGTTTAAAATCCAAAGTATTTCTCAAGAACATCTATGATTGCACACCCGGTATGCCGAGGAGTTAGGATAAATCCATTTCTGATTAAAGGTTGAGCTCGAAAATTAGGAATTTATCGAAGATTCATAATGAGTAAAAGTACACGAGGATTTCGGTAAGTGACAGAAAGAGCATCACTGTTTACAGTATTGAGTTAATAGAGAGGTCCGAACGGCATATCAACATAATAAGGTTACGTGGCATAACACGAGGAAACAGATAGGTGTATCAAGAAGAATTTTTTTTTTTTTTGTTTAAAGGCAGAAACTGTCAATTTGAAGACTAAGAACAGATGCTGCAGCTACCCATAAACAATCATGCAAACAATGGATTTTGAAACCACTAGGTTATTCACTTCCAATAGCATAGGTCACCGACATATCTGCATTTGTAATATCTTGCATTAAGATTAATAATCGAACCTCATTTTAAGGAACTCGCATAACCATTTGTTCCGAAATAGTTTTAGTTTAATGTTTTCTTTTTTTTCTGTTAAAGGTTAGCAATCCTTGCAACAACTTATGTCACATGTGAAGGACAAATGCTAAGCAAACGACGCCGAAATGACGAAGTAGATATAAAAAGAGAGGTACGGGACACAACATACTGCAGCCTATATCCTCATTGTCATTGTGCTTTTTAGCCATACTGAGTGTTCATGATTCTTTTTCTCCTTTATCGCGCTGTAATGATTCCGATGAGACATTTTTACAAGATTGTCTTATACATGGGCTTGTCTTGACTGTCATTTCCTATATTTAGTGTTAGACAAGAGGTAGTTATTTCAATTTAGTAGGTATTTTCCTCTGGAGTGACTTTGATCGACTTTTTCCTGTTAAAATTAAATATGCATAATCGTCAAAAACATTCAATTTATGTATATTGTTGCTATATTCCATTGTATTTTGTACTTCATTGAACCTTAACAAAAGAGGCAAAACTATTCAAGGAGTGTAAACTCAAGAATGTTTATCTTAGTTCTATGTCGAAAGGGTTATGCTGATGTTAAACACATAATATAATCTTGATCTGGGATGAAGTTTAAACTTTTGTTCTAAGACATTAACACAAGAAAAGAAATCAGACTTATTACAATTACATATATATTAAACTTTCGCTAACAATACATGGATGTATTCTAGTGTACGACCTCTGACCTGTATCGTCTTGATTTAAGATTTAGTTTCTTTCATCCGATTTTATCAAAATTATCTGACATATATAAAAAAAAAAAAAAAAAAAAAAAAAAAAAAATTCNTGAAATAAGACTCGAACCCAAACTGGATGGAGTTATCTGACTGATTTTATATCTGATAGGATCAGATTAAATTTTATCAAAGACACCAAATAAAGTTCAGCAAAACTACATTTGTTATATCAGCTGTTGTAAGATACGTACCCGTATTTTGCGAAGTTGGTCCAGTACTCCACCATGGCAATGCTGAGTTGACGTTCCTCAGAAGAACGTCTATGATCGTTGACAGGGACGGCGAATACATACTCAATCTCGTCTCCGTGGAGAACGCCAGTCCAGTTTGGCCAGGGATTCGTCAGTGAGCGGTGCTCAAAGCTGTACATAAACACTGGCGGAGAACCTCGCCTGGAGCGACTAAATTCTTGAGCAAACTCTATAACCGGACACTTGAATGCGAAGTCGCCACCTGTAAGAAAGAAATAATGATCATCAGTTAAAATAATGTCCAGCCCGCAGTATTAGTTTAATTTAGAATTAATTTCCACCAAGAACTAAATAATGCACAACTCCCTTTGAGATGTGTCAGATTGATAAATTGATTGATGATTTCAATATCCAGGACAATGTCTGAAAAATGAGAGACATTTGAATTCGCGATATTTTCCACTCGCTTAATATAAGAGAATTATAGTATACGTTGAGCCGGTGTAACCAATTGCCAATGTCAGTAGCTATAAAGAGGATTCAAGCTCATTACATGGCGATTTGTCACTCATTTGAGGAACATAAAATACTCATAACGTTTGTATTGAAGATCGATCTTCCGATTTTCAGTTAATAAACGTGTGAATGAGGAGATGCGTACATGTAAAACTCGAAAATTGCTTCATATAATAAATTTACTCGTTATTGCAAAATCGATACCACCAGCACTGCCTATTTTATCCGCTGAAGTTTGTAAAGATAATTCTGAGGTTTTCTGATAGACAGATAATAATTCTCAGTATGTGATAAACCTTCCATAGTGTCATTTAATACTGTATAGTTGAATACGCCTGGTTTGTGAATAAACGCACGACAGGTTTTGTGCTGCACCAATAACGAAAATATTGCTAGATACAATATTTGTGATAATAATGCATAATATTTTACAAAATACTTATGTGTAATCTGGTTTGTTAGTGTTTTACGTCCTATTAACAGCTGTGGTCGTGTAAGGACGTGTTAGGTTTTAGTGTTGAAGGAAAGTCAAAGGTCCCGGAAAAAAAACACCCGTCATACGGTCAGTACCTGGCGACTCCCACACCTAGGCCTCGTTCCCGCGACCCAGTGGTGGAGGGCTAGTGATAGCAGAATGTCTGACGCCTAAACTACTTGTCCGCCGCGGCTCCAACTTATATTATAGATTATTTCACGGTAAGATTTTTCTGAACTTATCTGATATTTATTTCTGCATGTTAAAGTACTGTACCTCCATATCATATTTGTGTATTATTTTGGTAGTGCTTTAAATCTCAATTTATCAATAATACATTTCTTTAACCATCTACAAACTACTAATGTTTGGTTTGGTTTGTTTGTGTTTTACGTCTTATTAACAGCTATGGTCATTTAAAGACATGCCAGGTTTTGGTGGTGGAGGAAAACCGAAGTTCCCTGAGGAAAACCACAGAACTACGGTTAGTACCCGGTGACTGTCCCACGTAGGTCTCGAACCCGCGACCCAGTGGCGGAGGACTAGTGATAACAGAGCGCAGACGCCTTAACCACTTGGCCACCGCCGCCCCTTCTGATGTTTTTCGTAGCAGATTCTGTTACTATGAATATTTTTAGTATCTTTTCCTTCCTAACTTTGTGGTTATAATTTTTAGGTCTGCTCAGGTGCATGTGCATGGAATTTTTTCAAACTTGTTCAGAATCATCCTTGGTAGATGAGGCTACAAAATTGTAAAATTAGAATCTTCCTACCCCATCCCCTGGGGCAAAGGAAAATTAACCAATATTTCAAAAATCTTCTTCTCCAGACTCAGATATACTACATTCAATTTATCTGCATGGATGGAAGGATCATCAGGAGCTTTGTTTAAATTGTTAATTCCAGTACCCCTTGGAGAGGGGGCGGGGTTACTATAGTTTATATAGGAAAATTACTCTCTTGGGTATACTTTGTCAATTGTCAGTAGTAAATGATTTTTACTTGGTGATAATCATCTTTGAAAGAAGATAGTATTATTTTGTAAAATTGGGATCCCTGCCCCAACCCTAAGGATCAGGACGGGGCTCCAAAGTGGAAATTAACCAATATTTCAAAAATCATCTTCTCCAGATTCAGATGATCTACATTCCATTTTTCGGCATGGATGGAAAGATCATCACAAACAAACTATATCTTGTCCATTTTCAGCAGGAAATAATTCAAACTTGGTTGGAATAGTTTTGATGAAAATGAAATCAAATAATATCAGATAGTAAGATCCTGACCTATCCCAGGGGTTGGCCAAGGAGGGAAATTGTCTAAATAAGAATAGGTATTATATCTCTCAATAGCAAAAAGATTTATTTTAATATTTTTTAAGTATCTAAACCATTAGTGTCATGACAAGTATTGAATTTCTCTTTGTTTACATGTTGATTTCCACATCACATCTCAACAATGAAATTGAGCTATCAGTACCTATAATATAATTCAGGTGACCGCTAAGGCCCTTAGGCCTCTTGGTAGGATTTATTACAGCACATGTTTTTCCAAATGTAATAACTCTTTACATTTCGTCTGTAAGTACCCATTTCTGTGGACCTGAACTATGTACATGACATTAACTATACTGTGGTCGTCAATCCATCCATATTCAACAAAGCATTATTCTTCAAATACAGTGAAAAATAATGAATAAATGTTCCCCGAAGTGTGAAATCAAAACATGAAATAATATTACGAAATGTTCGAGTCTACTGCCGTTAAAAGATCACTCAAGATAAGGCTGAAAAGTGATATCTTTGTTGAAAGCTATAACACTTTTTCTTTGAGGGGATAAACAATCTTGAACCCTTTCACCATTGTAGGCCTTACTGGACTCATCCAGATCAGTGTATGGTAGAGTTCACTACTGGTGCATAGGTGTGAAAGGGGTAATAAGGAGTCTCTCGAGAAGATATGACTATATATACAACGAAAATTGCTAGATCATGGAGCAGCGACCGTTCATTCTTTCCTGTCAATGATGTTTCTATTTAATATAATAATAATTTGATAAGCAGAACAACAGCACGAAAATGCTTTAATCATTTGAATGATTATCATGTTACTTTAACAACACCAGGACAAATGATGGTGGTTACTCTGTGTCAAGGTCTCAACGGATGGGGAGTTTGATTGTGTGAATCGTGGTAGTGCGGGCCTGTCTCAAGGACTAGACAATTCGTTGCAATTACATATAAGTTTTAAAACAGCAAAACGAACAGACTGAAATTTCTAAAGACGACCTGATTCTGATCATCCTTGATCCTTACTAGTTTTGTTCAATGTCGGGGTACAATCAAGTAATGTTTATTTTTATTGAAACAATAGGTTCACAATCTTTTAAACATCATTTAAAAATGGGGTCTTTAAACGTTTAATCATAGAACACGTAGGTGTGTCGATTAGAAAATTGAGGTTTTTGAAGTAAAACCAATTTTCATGATGTAATACTTACCATAACTTTAGTATGCATATACAATACCTACACCCATCTTTGTAGCCCAAAAACAAAAGATTCAAATATCCCTACCTCCCTACCGTGACGTAACCTCTATCTCGATGACAGAGCCACGGAGTGATCTCCCTTCCTCAAACCCCCTTTTATGGAGCCTAAAGGCAGCCAGGATGAGGAGGCAAGGGGAGGAATACAGGGTGGGACTCCATAAAGTTATGGTAAGTATTACATCATGAAAATTGGTTTTACTTCAAAAACCTCAATTTCATTTCAGTAATAATTACCATAACTTTAGTATGCGAATTCGTCTTACCGTAGTGGAGGCTTCGAATCCAGGCAGACCAGGCTGACGGAACAAACTCGAGACATGCTCAAGGTAGGGAAAAGGTTCAAGGAACCCCCCTAATAAAGCCCCGAAAGTAATTAAAAAATGGAAAACCTCCCCGTGAAACGAGCAGGTGTACCACCGTGGTGCCTGATAGCATACTATTTAAAATCACTGAATTACTGTGGAGGAACAGCCACAGACTGTGCAACCACCACCGGTCCAAGGGAATACAATCCATCAGAATGAGAGGCCAAGGACCGGAGATAAAAATCCGTGAAGGTAGTCTGTCCGCGCCAGAAAGCTGCGGACATGACCTCCTGAAAGGGGGACCCATTGAGGAGGGCCCATGACGCAGCAAGGGCCCTGATCTCATGAGCTCTCACCTTATACAACGCCCGAACCTGATCATCCGAGTGGTCGTAACCGTACTTGATGACCTGACAGATCCATCTAGACACTGACTGAGAAGAGATATCCTGTTGACCCTGCTTAATGGGCAAAAACAGACGAGATCGAGGACCTCGCCCCCCCCTGGTTTTATCGAGGTAAAACCTAAGCGCCCGACAGGGACAGAGCAACCTATCCCGTTCCTCAGCTCCAACGAAGGCAGTCAAAGACGGAATCTTAATCGGATCGGGCGAGAAGCCAGGAACCTGATTCTTAGCCATAAAGGCAGGATCAGTGAGAAGGGTAACGGCAGAGTAATTCCTGGACCATCGGAGGCAAGAGGGGTGAGAAGACAAGGCATGAATCTCACTCCTCCTTCGACCTGAGGCCAGGGCAACAAGGAATACCACCTTGTAAGTAACAAACTTCAAGGAGGCAGACGCTAAAGGCTCATAAGGTGCCCGCATCAGCGATTCGAGCACCAGTGGCAAATTCCACTGCGGAGCCAACTGCCGGACCCTAGGCCTGTCCAACCCAAACCCCCTAATCAAGGCAGAAAGAGAGGAGGACGAGCCTACCTCCGACCTACCATGAACAGAGAGAACACTAGCAATGGCCGTGCGATAACCAGCGATAGTGCCAGGGGCAAGATTGCGGTCCCTAAACAGCCAAAGAAGGAAGTCCGCAATCACCTGGACAGTAGCCTTGATCGGATCAACCTTCCTGCCGACACACCAATCACAGTAAATCTTCCATCGTGACTGGTAGACGGCAGATGAGGAAGCCCTAATTGATCGAGCGATGCGATCTGACACGTCCCTAGAAAAGCCCGCCTGAGCGAGGCCTCCTGAGATAGCTTCCACGCGTGAAGGTGGAGGATCTCCGGACGAGAGTGCATCGTCCTGGAACGAGGCTGGCGAAGGAGGTTCGCTCTGAGAGGAAGAGCCAGGGGCTCTTCCACCAGAAGCGACAAAAGCTCCGGAAACCAAGGCTGCCTCGGCCACAGGGGCGCTATCAGGAGGAGGGAACACTGATGCTCCCGAAACTTCTGCAGCA